ATCCGTGAATATGCTCAGAAAGAGCCTATTCTATCATATTCACGGATTAAATTTTGCATTTACTTCTTTGTAAAAAAAGTTTATACATTTTGTAAAATACAAACGTTTGATGATTTTAGATGTTATGCACCATATTTCATTCCTTTTAAGCATCGTAATGAAATTACTAGTCATATACTTCTTAGCAGATTAGATCTTAATAAAAGTAAACCAATTGAGTAATTCACTAGCTAAATAATTTTTGTTCATGCAAAAAAATAATTTAAAGTTCATTTTTGAGATTAGAATTCATAACAAATCAATCCTATGTCTGAGACTTATTCTCTTGATTTTTCATCAGAAGCTAACAGGATGATAGGATGATTCTCATGATTATTATCATTGTTGTTATTATTGTCATTATTATTATTACTATTACTCTTACTATTATTATTATTGTTGTTTTTGTTATTATTGTTATTATTATTATTATTACTACCACTACTACTACTATTATTATTTATATTCAAATAATCATATTCGCCGACTAACTCTTTCGAATCATGGGAGTTATTATTCGAGATGGATTTCGTGAATTTTGTAAAACGGTGCGTAATTTTATGGTATTCTGTTTTGTTATACATACAGTATTTCACGTTTTAATAAAAATCGAGATTTTATATGAATAGATATGCGATTATTATAAAAAGCATAATTACCATTCTCGAAATCTCCTTGATTTATACAATCTTCACAAAGATCCATTTGGCGACTTGAATTATTACAATCTAGACATTGATACCGTGTACCAATTATTGGATCGATGAGGCAACTATCACACTATAACAATATTAATATTAATATTCATATCGTAATGACGGATTTTTGAAGGTTATGAGAAGCCCCAATCAGAAAAAAATATTATATTTACACTAAATCCACGATGTATAATATCAATTGCATCTTCCATCGAGTTTTCAACATTCCAATACGAAGAGGATGAAGGGGATGACTTCTCTTTGTCATTATTAACCACGGTGTTCTTTTCTTTATTATTGATTGAAATCATCATCTCCTTGATAACATTTTTATCATCGCCTTCAGTCATATACACGGTGGGAGGTGGTAATGCTTGTTCATAGGCAATTCCAGATACTCTATTAATGTTTCAATTCAGCATTTTGATTAATACTTTTTTAGGAGATAATGTATATTTATTATAATTTACCTTGGTCGCCTTAACGATTGCTCAACTGGAGGTTTGGAGGGTTTGACTTTGGATACACGACCGTGTTTTTTTGGTTTGTTGTTGCTTGGCGTATTTATTGTCTGTTATTTATATTGATTAATTAATTAGCTCGAAAAATCGCGAAATCCGCCGGTATTAAGTATAAACTTGTAAATACGTACTTGCAGATTCGGCATACGACCAGGCACCGGCAATCCATTTTTAGCCAACTTTATAAAATATTTTTGTACTCGACTTGCAACCTAAATTAGGTAATAGATAATTACTTTATTATTTGATAAACAACGAGTTTGTCTTTTTTTACTTGAATTCAAGACCTGTTTGGGAGTTCGTGTTCCTAATGCTTTAGATATCTTTTTGAATCGATGTGATTGTATTTCTTCGTCTGGATAAATTGCCAAGAGTTCTATCAATCGTTGCTATACCCAAGGAAAATTAATAAATGCAATTTTAGAGGCATAAAGAAATCAAATAAAAAAGTTATTTTAATATACTTGTTCTTCGTCCGTCCATGGAATATTATGATTGTTGGGTTTTGGATCCGATGTCTGTTACTAAAGAGATTAGTTTTGGTGATATTAAAAAGTTAAAAGAGAATGTCATTAATTTTACCTCTGAATTCGAGTTCTGATTTACTTTAATAAATAAAGAGGAGGAAGTGGGTGAAGCAAGCAATGATGTTGTTGGTGGTTTTTGAGTATACTCTGCTATAGTAGTCATCCCTTTTTCCATACTGCCAATTGCTGTATTATTATTAATTTCAAGTTCACTACTACCATTAGGATTCCATGTTAAAGAATCCCTCCGTCTATAATAATAACACGAAATGTCACATTTAATCAGTATTATAATTGTGGATGGTAATCATTTCGAATAGTAATCATTTAACCAATAGTTGACCTTTTTTTAATTTCATCAGTCGATTCAACTGTGGATCTTTTCACACCTCTGTTATTAGCTTCGGCTGGAGAGAGAAGAGCGCTCAACATCTTCTTGCCTTTACCCTTGCCATAAGGAACCACCGAAGAAGCGTCAGTAGAAGCAGTAGTAGTGATATTTCTATTACTTTCATCTCCGTAGTTTGATAATCCTGTAGCCAATAAAGGTGTTTCGGCTTCTGATTCTCTATCTGATCCTTCATCAGCTGGGGTCTCTTCAGGGTATAACCCTAATTCAGCTGCTCCCTTCAAAACTTCTTCCATCAACTCGGAAGAGCGTGCAAGACTAGGAATCTAGATATACACAAGACAACTTAATTTTTATCTGTAATAAAATCACGTCCTTTATTTATAGAATTCGATAGATCGAAAGAAATCTATGGGACAAACAATACCTTTGACTTGTATTTTATTCCGTATGGTGTTAATTTTGCATCATTTGAAGTTGCGCTGTTTTTTGGCCCAGTGTATTTACTCCACTTGATATTAGGACATTTAAAGACAGTTTGGCGTTTTGGAAGTTTTTTATTTGTCTAAGTTGACAAAATAAATCAAAATTATTTTTTATAGTTTTTAGAGAGGCATATAGAAAATCACAATACCCCATCGCGTAAATTTTCAGCAAACGTTATAGGGTCCTCTAAAGCCTCGAGTTTTCGTTTTTTCAGCGTAGCAATGTCTTCGTGTGCACGTTCTTCTTGATATTTGAGCACATTAATGGCACGTGTTAACATTTCATAACTATATAGATGAAAATTTCACGTACTTTGAGGAAATGAAAGTTTACTAAGGGTAACGTGTTCATTTGGTAAATAGAAGCTTACTCTTCGTTAGTGTCGAAAAAAAGTTCTTCTGATGCCTTGTTCATTCTCAAAAGTAATTCACAAATCTTTTCAGCTAAAGTACCTTTTAATATAAATCCCGTGATTAAGAGTCAGATGATATTATCAAAGTGATATAATCAATATAAGTGCAGATCCCACGATCTGTAAATAAGAATCATGGTGAGTTTTTTCACAGTTGAAGTTTTGCACGACTTTAATTAGAGTTATCATGTATAATATTTTTACTATGTTAATGACAACATTCGTTATTTTGTTCGTGAAAGGCAGGAGCTTCCGCTAAAAAAATAGCACAAGAAAACACGAAAACCTTAAAAAACCTTCAACACGGTTTTCTTGTAATTAATGTGAGTTAAACCTAACGAAAATCGTAATATCATGTATAAATTTCATTCAAAGTTTTCTTTTTATTTTAAATCATGGAAAACGGATGAATCGATATATATATAGGCAATTTATTTCCTCTATCGAATCATATATCACAATAATACTTTTACATTATGGATCGCAATAAAATATCTCACCACTCTGATGATTTCACTATTCATTTGGAAGCAATTGCGTATGCATGGCTTACCGCGATATAATAAATATGATGGATCAGTCGAGTGGTCTGGTGAAGATTTGAATTCCGAGGGATTGACCGCGTAGGAATTTTTCGTATCTTTATTTGTTGTTTTTTACAAATGCTGCTGTCTTATTTCTAATTATTTTCTAATTGATACTTAGATATATGTTTGACATTATCTACATCACGTGGTTTGTGCATTTTGTCAGTATGTTCTGGGAAGCGGCTTGGTGGATATATTTAGTGGTAAGTTATCATCCTGTCTAAATATATCAATCATTATTCGAAATAACTATAATATATTTCAAATAGATTCCAGCATACGCATTGTACAAAATATGGTCAAGCTTTATACAGCCTTACTTGTTTTCCTCATCAAGCGAGAACGATAATACTAATGAATCTAAAAGTAAACGCCAACAAAAGAAAATGCTACGGCAAGACTCGGGAACAGGCGGGGGTGCAAAGACAAAAATCAAATATCGATGAAGACAATTACATCTCTTTCCTCCAGGGCTGAGAAATTTATACTAAATAAAATTAGTACAATACATTAGATTAATTTATTATACTGAACTAATCCTGAACCAGTACATATGTTTCCCAATGATATAAGACTTATATCACTCTGTCATTTTTTTACATTATAAAAATAGCTATACATCTGCACTAATCATGAATTCATTGGTTAGTTTCCTCTATATCCATATATATATATATATATATATAGCAGCTATATATATATATATATAAAAAATAAGCTAAAAGATCGAGCTCAATCCGGATAACGTTACCTTTTGAAATGAGTTCGAATTTGAATTCAAAAGGGAAATCCATGCTAAATTTAGATATATGAAAAGAAAAACAAATCTTTACATGGGAACGGGCTTTAGGATCGCCAGTTCTGAATGTGTCTCATGACATATGTACTTCTATCTCCCATAGACAATGGTAAAAATAGATATTTTTTTACTATCTATCGCTATGTGCACATAGCACACATCAAATGTCGTCAGATACACAGTAACTCCTAACAAGTAAATTTTATTGAAAGTCCTTTTACCTATAGTTAGCGAATTCTATAAATGCATAATTCTATAAATGCATAATTCTATAAATGCATAATCGATATACCTAATTAAGGTATAGAATAACTCCAAAATTGCCTGTTACATCTAATCATTATTACATCAAAAGTAAAAAGAAAACTTTAAATCTGAATGTAAGTCGACAAATTTGGCGAATCAACACACTATAATAACAGTTTTGTTTGTTTTTCGCTACTTTTTAAGAAAAATGATGGTTTTTTCTTCCTCTTAACCTTGTGACACTACTTATACATGAAGTGCTGCTATGAATGGATGTGAAAAAAATAAGATAAAAAGGTCAATTTTCATAACAAGAGAAATCGACAATTTTATCTTGATTTTTGTTCAAAATTTGGATTGTCTATTAAAAGGAAAAAATACAATTAATAATGTCTTGGCATTTTCAAGCTCTTCATATAATTTATCCTATCCTTTTCTCGGTATCGGTTACCATTATTGCATTATTGAGCAGATGGATTGATAGAACACCTGAAACGTATCCAGCCGATTTGTATTATACCTTTGTGTTGGCTGGTCTTTCTTTTTTACTTGCTACGAGCTTATGTATTCAAAAATTAATATCATGTATTTATGAATTTCGACCCTTTATCATATTTATGGAGGGATTGTTAATGGTTGCCTGGTTAACTGATGCGATTCTTATCGTTGTGAAAACAAGAATGGATAATGAATCAACAATGGATAATGAAGCTACAAGGATTAGAATTGCAATTATGAGTCTTGCGTGGGTACAATTCGTGATTTTGGATTTGATGTTAGTGATAAAATTATCGGCACAACAACGTCGTCGTCGTCATAGTAAATATTCAGACACGAGAAGTCTTGGAAGTCAAAGTGATGCAAGAGAATTAGAAAGTGATGATACAAATTACCATGAAAAATTGTATGATAATCAACAACCACCAACAATTCAAAGTGGAAATGCGACTAATGTCAATAACGATAATGATAATGACATTAATGACAAAAACGGCGACAACGACAACCAAACCAATGACACAAAAAATAATGACGGTGAAATATACGCAGAAGCTCGATATGATTTCAAAGGATCCGATTTCTCTTTCAAAGTTGGGGACAAAGTTAGAATCACGAAAAAGTCAAATAATGCAAAAGATTGGTGGAAAGGTGAAATCAACGGGAAAAAAGGCGAGGTATTTATTGTGTTTATACAGATATTTTTACGATTTTTAGCATTCACTAATTTCCTATTATATTAGTTCCCGGGCGATTACGTGAAATTACTGTAATTCGAATGAACGCAAAGATAAGAATTTCATGCCGATAGAACGCCCTATATATATACTAAAAAATACTTTTTTAATGCTTTTTTATTTTTTTGGTAATATTCTTTTAACTGGTTTTGGTCGTAAGACATACTTTTTTTTTTACTTTTTTTTTATTTTTTGGTTTTGGCAGAAATGCCAATGGCCATCGGCGGGGTGCCGAGCTGCGTTGCGTCCTTCAATGGCTTTCTTGGCCTGCGCTGCTGCGGCTTCGGTAGCCTCAGCTGACAGTGGCACTAGTCAAAAGAACTAGCAGATTTGGTAAAATTTTCATCGTTAGAATTATATATATATAACTAGCGAAGAAAAACAAGCAAAAAACTTAACTAAACTTTTTAACTGTTGAACGACTTTTCTCTCCAATTTTATATTTTCTCAATCAAAACGAACGAATGCGTAAATAATAAACTCTCAAACAATTGCAAGTTTGCCGTTTTATTTAATATTGAAATATTAATTAATGCACGCGCGCTAAACGTTATTTTACTGGTTTTTGCGCGACCGAAAAAAATGTGAAAAGTTTAATGGTGTTATGTTATCAGTATTGTTATGTTTAGTAGTAGGTAGTAGTAGCAGTAGCAGAGTTAGTTCGTGGTGGTTTTTTCAAAGTTATGAAAAAATAACGGTGCCGAAACATAGTACGTAATTGTCAGCCAAAATTATAATTTAATTTATCGATATTAATAAAATGTTATCCAATCAGATCAGTTTACATAGTTTCTTAATTCATAATCATTTATTTATTAATTGGTTTTATTAATAAACGGAAGACGACAAAAGCAATCGTTTTGATTAAGATATAGATATGTAAATATATAAGCTGATGCTAACGTCTTTCCTTAAGAAAGCATTCCCAAATTAAAATCAAAAGAATGAATGAAAAAATTCCACCCACATCCCAAACCAAAGATAAAAAAGAGAGATTTCAATAATAAAAAAGATTTGAGATTCCAAATTTCTAACAATAATATTAGCTTATTTAGCAGTTTGCTGTGTCTCAGTATTAACCTCCATTTTCTCGTCGCCAATACTCATAGGCGATGTATTATTCGTGGGACTTGACAACGACACATTATCTAAGGAAGAAGTAGCGGTGTTAATGGTAATGATAGGAGTGATGCTGGATATTGATGACGAAGACGTGTTAACTTTTTCAACAGAATCTTCTGATTTTGTGGGAGCTGAAGTCTCGAGAACAACATGATTATTTGTTGCTATCTCCATGGGAATGGGAGAGTTGACCTCTCGAGGATGATCTTCAAAGAATTTAGCTGATAGGGCACGTGAATATTTGCCTTTTCTAGGCCGATATTCACTAGTAAATTTGGCGCGATACAAATCCAATGCTTTTTGAAGCAGTAATTTTTTCTCATTTAGTTTGCTTGGATTCAGGTATGCCTATGAGTTTGATTAATAGAGGAATGGTAAATATTTGCTATACGGAATATAATAAAAATATTAAACGAATAATTACCAATTTCCAGCCTATCTCGTTACACCAATTTTCCAATTCCCAATTTTTTCCCCTATTAGCTTGATCAGATAAAACTCTAGGAAACACGCTATTCTTTCTTTTAAAATCCTCCGTTAGATCAGTCAGATTAACGGATTCGATATCAGCTCGAATGCGAATTTTTGTAGAAACCCCTTTTGAAAATGTATTGACGGATAATTGTTTAGCAGCACTGCGATGTCTTTTTAGAGACTTGGAGTCAGGATTTCCATCAAATGAATCACTATCACGAGTAGCTCTTTTACGTAATGTCCCATTATTTATTTTCTCATTTCTTACTACTCTTCTCGATCTCATATTTGGATCACGATTACGATAACTATCCACTGCGCGCTGAAGTAGTCCTCTTTTTCCAGCAATATCCTCTTGATTCAACCAAGCTAATTTCCATCCTAAGTTATTACACTCATTCTCGTAATGCCATCGATTTCCTTGATATTTTTCTTCGGGACAATGTGCACGTGGATAAAGACAATTTTCACGTTTAAATTGGTCAGTTATATCGTTTAGGTTGGCACTATTCAAATCAATTCGTATACGATACTCTTTATTGTTTCCTTTGACCGAGTATGTGAATACCACAAATGGTATGCCGTCATGTGTCTCTATGACAGGATCAGTTGCAGGTAATGCGTGATTTGGTGAGGGCGAGAATTCCGATCGTTTTAGATTACTATTGGGCGGATGTATTGGAGGAAGTGATGTCGATAGTGAGAGTGGTGATGTTGCTGTTATTGTAGATGATGATACTGGAGAAAAGGATGCTAATTGACGATGATCCTGTAATTGGTGTTGTGGAGTCGTTGTGATTTGGAATTTTTGTTTTTGTTTAGTGGATGAGGAAGGGAAAAACGTCGGATGTGATGTCGATGTTGTAGGTGACGATAATGGGGTTTGTGATGATGTTTTGTTTAAGAAAAATTCTTTATTGTGTAAGCGTTGTGGTGGTTCTTGTTTAAGATATTCGTGATTATGTTGTTGATCATTATTATTACTACTATTACTATTATCATTATTATGATGATGTTCAGGGTGTTCATGTTGATCTTGACTTTGTGCTAGTTCAATAACATTACTGTTAACAATAGCAGAATTAGAAGTTGATGCTGCAACACCAAATGATTGGACGGTGTCACGGTCTTTACTTGTTTGTGGAGATGACGGATTGTTATTAAACTGCGGTATTGAATGGTTAGACGATAGTGGAAGAGGAAGGGGTTGGGGTTGGGGTTGAAAAGGTAAAGTAGAATTATTATTAAGGGCGGCAGAAATTTCCATGGAATTATTATTAATATTGGTGGTGGTAGTTAGATTATTAAGATTATTATTATTATTATCACTATTTAATTTCTTTTGTTCTTTGGCCTTTCGTCTCTTTACACGTTGTACTGTCTTTTCTATCGAAGAAAGTTGGTCAAGTGTAAGAGTAAACAAAAATTCTTCTGTATTTTGGTCAGGTTGAAGAAGAGAAGAAATTGTGAGGTGTATAGGTTGAGGAGGTTGCTGTTGTGAGGTTTGGTGAGGAGTAAACGCTGGTGGATAACGCAATGTATTCCGAGATTGAGGTAATGGAGGCGATGGTGTCATCGTCGCTGATCTTGGACTAGAGTTATTCGTCCAACCTGTGCCTATTGTTGCTACTTGAGTAGCAGCAGCAGAAGGCCTTGGCGCCTCAAGAGTAGAAGGGGGAGAGTTGAAACTCGAATCTGGATCAAGACCAGTTGGTGGAGTAGGTGGTGAAGAAGTCTTTAGTAGTTGTTTTGGCTGTCTTTCCGTTTGTATAGTTGATCCGTTCTGTTGTTGTGGAGGTTGAGAAGTTCTCTGCATTTTACTCCCGTTTTTTACCGTTTAGCAACTCTCGTGTGTATGTTGGCGCGCGCGACAGGGGTTTGTCTAATTAGATATTTTAATGTCTCGCGAGAAATTATCACTGATTTTATGGAACCCCTGGGTGTTCTAGATGTGCTTACGACGAGGGTTATTGTTACCTGTTTACTTGATTTATCTTTATCGGTGTGCGCTGATTCAACCAACGACCACCACCATCCCATGTTACAACAACAACGACAGCGGTTAATTTTGATTGGTTCCCTGAAATTTCCTTAATGCGCAAAGAAGACCCCTTTATTTAGGCATCTAGACAGGTTTCTGGGCGGCGGAGTTTTACATTGTATAAATACGTATTCTCACACGGTCATTATTAGCATTCCAAAAAGAATGATAAGTGTTTTTAGACACATCGATTATTTTCCCCTTTACATAATAGAAGCACATACTTAGCTGAATCTGATCTCGTTGGCAATAATACAATAATTAAACAACGGAAAAAATCTATTGTCTTACAAATTCTTATGATTAATAACAATAATGCAATAATGTATCTAAAATTAGCAAACAGCTCTTTTCTTTATGTGTCTAAACGTGACACACAAACACACGACGACCCAACCAACCACCCCCGCCCAAATCACATTGGTGTCGGTCGGTTGGTCGATTAATTGACCGAAGATCTCTTGGCAAAAAAGGAAGGTGAACTTTAATGTATAAGATGTATATATAAAATGGATAAATGTTTTGGATGATCGTTTGTTTGCACAAACATGTAAATTGTATAATTCCGCAAATCTTTACCTAATTCGGATGTGGATAATTCTGCAAATCTTTACCGCATTCGGTTGTGGTAATTCCAATTTTCAAGGTATACTTGCTCGCTAAATAAATGTAATAAATTGTTGATTGGTATTTATGAAAAGCCAGGAAATATGATGACTTGCCGAGATTTTCCCTTGACAACATTGAATTCAAAGGGTTGTTGCACTTTTCATCATCGTAGTCGTTTGATGTCAATGAAGAATCGCAAAAAACAAAGATCGCCTTTATTCCGAAAAAAACAGGAGACAAGGCGTCTCTATCCGTTAATCATCCATCATCATCATCCAAACAATCATCAACGTGCGAGACGAGAGAAAAAAGGTCAAATTAGATGAATTGACCGATGGATCAAATTACACAAACAACACAAATACCAAACAGACGATTCACCCAAAAGACTGGTAGATCCCAAACAGAAAATAGAGGGAAAAACTCAAACTCGATTTACCAGTTATTATTGTCATATTGTTGTTGTTGTTATTGTGTCGGTTGTTAATGAAGTAAATAAATAACATGTACGTAGTTCGAGGCATTCATTATTCAATTAAAAAAAGGACGATTTCAAATAAGTTTCGAGAAATAACGGCGGTGTTTGGACGAGCGAATATCTAATCTATTGCTATTAATTAAATAAAAGGAGAAGAATTCAATTCGTAGTAGAGTAACGAGCAAACAAACTTCGTTTTTTTTATTACATCATTTTTAATCTTGACATATATATGAGTATTCGCGTAATAATTAATTAAATAAATTGTTCGTGGACAAAAGATACTGTATGCATATAAACACTAAATTTTTTTGGATAATCTAATAAAAATCGTAAAATTACAATTTGAAATTTATTATTATTATTATGAAAATCTAATATATATTTAATATATATTTAATATATATTTAATATATATATATGTATATATGTATATGTATATGTGTATATATATATTATATATATCAGAAAATGGAAAGACATAACTAATTAATAAGATAGGTAAAAAAAAATTATGTAGGGATAAACTATTAGAAATTAGTATTTTATTTTTGTTCTATTATATGTAGTTGGTTTAAACTAAATTAATACAATGCACAATGTCAAAAACAGGGATAATTAATTAAGATAATAAATCAAAAATAATTGGTGAAAATACTGTTTTTTCTTTTACTTCTGGTCAGAAAAACCATTAGAAAAAACTTTTTTCCTAACTGCTAGCAATTTATACTAGATGTTCGTCTTCTAATTGAAAAACGTGTATAAACCATTTATTTAAGTTTAGAAATATATATATGATGCGATCAACTACAACAAATGTTATTTATCCTATCGCTACAACTATAAAAGCTACCGCTCGTAAATCGGTAAATGGGGAAGTGTGACAGTGAACATAATATATATGCGGATGTACTTGCCTTCCTTAGTATATATATTTACATTATTTTTACTTACCCCTTTTCAAAAAAAAAATTATCAGGAATCTCTAATCAACCAATCAGGAATTTTTTTGGTTCATCATCGCTATCGTCATCAAAACCCAGTAGAATACATAATATACCACACTTCCAACCAAATTCCATTTAACTAGTAGCATTAGAGTGGAACTTTATTCAAAAGTAACGCTTTTATCCTACCAGTTCAAATTTTTTACGCTTTTCCTCGCGACTGACTACACCCTTTTTCTTCGTGTATATTTCTTTCCTCTTTGTGCTGTTTAGAGATAGTGAAAAAAGTAAAAATAATTTCGTTTTAAAATTTTTTTCTCTCACTTTACAACATTAACGACACCCTCTACCACGACACAATACGGCAACGAGGTTTACTAAATTATTAACGAGTTGGATTAGATAATATGTTGCATTCACAGTTCAACACAGCCTATGTATTTCCCGAGACATCTCAGTCAGCCATTACTACCTCAGGTAAAAACCATTTATAAAGCCGCGTACCAAAAATATAATTTGACGTGTCACGTAAAAAAATTTTTACTTATTCTCAAGAAAAAGTGCGTTACTTTCGCGGGCGAAAAAAAAACCAATAACCAAATTAAATAATGCTATTGAAAAATAATAAATAGAGTCACACTTTGAAAGTCTACTGGTACCAGTACCGATAAACGCGTTGGGCGGTGACCATCATCACACGCAGCTACTCTCACCCGCTCCTTCATCGCCAATGTCTAATAATAATTTTGAGTTACGCGACTCACCAACTGCAGATGAACTCGATATCCCAGAGTTCTTTCAATACAGCAAGGAAAAATATGAGAGTGCAAAATCAGGGAGTCGCAGGCGACGTAAATCGACACGTGATGATTGTGAAACCGTCTCATCCTTCGATGGAGATGAAGGAGAGGATGGAAATAGGCAAGTTTCTTATCACTTGCTTTTAGTTGCTCCGATTGATTTTCATATATATATATGCGGATTACTGCATCACTAGATCAATCAATCAATCAATAAACCGAATTCAAGCGCATTCATCATCACAATCATCCATAATAACTTTGTAAACAATCTCTTGTAGTGCTGTTTCGCATGCAGAATATCGTCGTCAGGTCCATATTCAGTCTGAACAAAAACGACGCGCAGAAATCAAGGATGGCTTCGAAGAGTTGCGAAGACAACTACCGGTCGGATGTAATGGTCGTAAAATGAGCAAGGCTGCTCTTCTCCAACGAAGTAATTAATCATGTTTTTATCGCGTAAACATGAATCACCAATGTTTATCATTATCACGAATTGACGAATCATATTCTTTTTACCCTACTCATTCATTCTCTTTACCCTACTCATTCATTCTCTTGAGCTTAGCCGTGACTCATCTAAAGAATACGAGAAATAGGGAAACCTTTCTCGTCGATGAGGTTACTCGTCTTCATCACATCTGTACTTACTTGAACGCAGAACTTGAAAAGGAAAAGAAGTGCGTATTATTTGCATTCTCTTGTCATTAAAGAGACCTTGCGATTGAATCGTTTGTAATCGTCATTTATCCCTCTCTTAATAATAGGATGAATGCCGTATATAGGCAAAAAGAAACACTCGACAAAATTTATGGGATTGGGCTCTGATAGTTCTCACAGTCATCGTGCTTGGATGATAGCAATAATACTTGTAATCAAGATAATCAAGACAATCATCACAATCATCATAATCATCATAATACGCCCTTAACAATAACAATAACATATCGACACAAGCCTTGAAGATCCAAAAATAGTTTGTACTTGTTATGTCGACTTCTTGGCTGCACATTTATCCTCATCACCCTTATCATCGTCGCAACCACCTCTAATCACACACAATCTATGCATTCTTGGCTTATATAAAATTTGATTAATGATTATCACATTTGTGTCAAACGATCTCTTCCACAAAAAAAAGTAATCAGATTTTTTAAACTTTTCCAGCGTACTAAATTTGTCCTTTTAAACGTATAAAAAATATAACAAAAAAATTTTATAAGCCAACAATAACAAACAACGTTTTTCCCCTTTTTTTTTGGATTTTTATTTTTTCTTTTCTTTATCAAAATTCTCTTTACTTTGTATCAACATCACATCCTCGTTACAAATGACACTAGTTAATTTTTTATGTTCTCTAGGGGGCGGGGTTTCTTTTCTCATTGTCGGCATGATATCATAGCATCATCTATTAAATAAGTTCGATCGCCTCGCTCTTTCATCGAATCCCTTCCATTGAAACAATAGGATTTTTATGCATTCGTGCAATTACTATAATTGGATGTTGATTTGATTTTTCTTTTGGGTCATTTTCACGTTTCTTTTGTTTATATTTTTACTTTCCCTTTTTTACTCTTTGGTTTTTTTTGCAATTGTAGATTTTCCTCTTTCTCCCTTACATTGACAGTAATCAAAATCTTATTTTTTCGTTTGAGGGATCAACAACGGTTTAATAGCAACATTGGATTTTATATTATATACATATATTTGTTGTGTTGGCATTTTAAAACATTGTAGTGTAGTTCTTCGTTAGTTTAGTGTATTATGTAAATACGTGAGCTGGAAGAGTACAAAAACTAAAAATGAAGAGTTCGTGCAATAAGAATCATTTTTCAACCAATCAATTAATCATTTTTTTCAATGGTGTATGTGAAAATCTCTTGATCGAGAATACTTGCGCGAATTGTACAGCAAAAAGTAGTCGATTGGAATAATGGAGCGCGTCTAAACAATTACATTATCAATTGATCAAGTCGATTATCGGTGTTGTACGCGTCTATAATAATAATATACACGCACATGCATTGTTCGATAGATTTCCCTTTCTAACAAACATATTTTTTTTCGCTTCCATAATAATACATTATCGTGTTCTCACGCACGTTATTATTCTTTTATTTACTATTTAATTAAAAATTCATTATATGGGAATCCTGTATTAATACATTTTCATTTAGCTTATTTAGCTCGCCACGTTCTTTTGTGCGTGCTCATGTTTGTGTAGCGTTTTGTGATTGAATTTATTATATTAAAACCAGCTAGGGAATGTTACATTTTCGTTATCAGGGACTGATGACACAGCCATTGTGATACACAGCACACAAACCCGGTCTCATCTCTAAATACGGCCATTAATTTTCATTAACGTTAATGCGTTGTAGATTACTGTTTAATTAACAAACATTGTTTTCTATTGTGTATACATGTATATGTATTTTATATTTTGTGTATTTGCTTTTCTATGCATAATTAATCGATGTGTAATCTTCCAGGTCATACTAACAATAAGACGTCAAATAACAAATGAAAAATGAATGTTGTAGAATCCCGTAAAATACGTGCCTCTTCTCAATTGTTCACGGTTCATTCAAAAAGCCTAATCAGGACTATGTGATCCATAAATAATAGATATACCTGATCAAATAATCGATACACCTGCATCTTGTGCGCTATGTGACCACGATTGTTTTATGTAAGGTGTGATTAGGGATCAAGCAACTTCGAGAATGTGATCTTACGGTAGATACATTTCCCCTCCAAGTTCATTCTGTAAATTGATCTTGTTGGATCTTCGAGGATATACTTTGACATCTTCCCAAACGAGAGTCCATTCAATGAAAAGTACAAATCGCAATATGACAAAAACCAGATGAGTACAGCTTTTTCATTTTTCATGTGTACGTTGTACAGTAATTGCGAGACGGAAAATCTTTCTCGGGATTTTTAATACTTCAAATTACATAAGCTGAATGAATGTTGAAAATATTTATTGTAAATTAATTAAATACATTGAATTAAATTAGATCACAACCCCATCGAAAGGGTTTTTTTTTTTAGTGAAAAGTTGTGAATTGTAGGTCAAACCTAAGCCTCATTTTTAAAGTACCGTGAGATACTGTAACCCAGATTTTTTCCAACTGATTCAATTACAGAAAGTCTGTACAAAACGGATTACTTATTGACAATAACACAAAAAGTCGAGATGCCGAACAAGTAACAGCCAAAAAAATACGGTTTCAACAGGGTAATACAAAAACAACCAAATATGAGTTGATTGAATAACGCGAATGAAATTCGAAAATGAAAAGATTAAGGCGGAAATGTGGCGCCGTTGGTCACTAGAACGTGCTTTTTGATTTTCTGTTTTCTTCATTTCATATTGATCCGATGTTTGTTTGTTACCAAATTGAAATTTGAAACTATCCTCTCATTTTGTTAGAGTAAAGAAATTCCAAGAACATCTTCCTTTCTGATACAAATAATATGGTGTTTGAGGAAAGGAAGCTTCCATTGATTTTTCCATAAAAATCGATTTAGTAGGGCAACGAAAAAAACCAAGCTTGTATTCATAACACGTACACAAATAAAATTATTGTTGAACATCAAATATTTATTAGGGCAGATTTAATCGGTCATCTAATATCAACAAACCGCGCGTATGTATTAAGAGAAAAAAAAAACACGAATTATATTCTGATTTTGTTGGGAATAATTCTTGGGTAGCACGATTGAATGGGAAAAGACAGGTAAAGTTACCTATCACCGTCTCATTTACTTATATCTCGTATATTATATGAATGGAGAGGCAATAGTGACAATGGCAAACAGGAATATTTGCAAACACTAAAAAGCCATAAAAAACTTAACTTTAACACAAGAAAATTTGATTTCATACATGAACTTATCTCTTTGTTATTTTACTGTGCATGGAGGCTTTCTCTTGTTACTAGTATTTGTAATTTTAAATTGGCTTGGGCGCGTACAAGGAAGGAAGGAAGGTTATCTAATATCTTTAATAAAAACAGTAAATTGTGGCAGCGAATCCAAAAGTATCTTGAAACCTCTAGGTGATCGAGATGCGCTTACAAATAATCAATAAGATATATCGATTATTATTATTTTGTGAGAGTTTTAAACAAGATGGTTGTTGATACGTGCTTTCGGGATATCGGGTATTAGACAAAGAAAAGAAATCAGGTGAAACGGGACGCGAACGATCCACGATCCTGTTCCGTAGCATACAATCTTGATAGTTTATGGTTTTGAAAGGACGACTTTTTTCGTGTTAACAATACAACTAATCATCTTATTATGCGCTTTTTTACCAAAAAAAAAAACTTCATTACAATTATTAATAGCTTGATTTTCTCACGAAGGATTTTTTTTAAGTTTCCCAGTTACAATTACACAAAATAAGCTGAATCCTGAAACATGATCAGATGCAAAGAGACGCGCGTCAATTAAAAAATTTTCGTTGAATTGTAATTCTTTTCATTTCGGGAAGACTAGAAAACGTATGAATTGCATAATCTTATTGAATGTAGGTCGAATAAATCGGTAGTAGCGTATTTCTGCGCATTTTCAAATTTGACACTTTTCAAACTTTGACACTGTTCACCGGGTAAGAATCCAGAAAAATTGAGGGCGCAAGTGACACACGAATAAACTCTAAAAACTTGACTTTTTTATCGATACGAATTGATTTAAATGTCTGTAAAACGTTACCCTGGTATTCGATTTCACAGCGCGCGATAGTTAAAGGAATCACATGCAAAGACAATTAATCAACCATCTAATCTCTACAATTTATATTGTCGTAAACATACAAAGAAAACTCCTTGTTTAATACACTCATCGAAGAGCGCGGGGTTCCTCTTGTTTGTATACAGAACGCCAAACACGAATCGATTGTATGTGGCTGAATTGAATGTGTGGGAAAAACAATAGAACAGAAAAAAGAAGATGGTCCGAACGACCAACCATACACGCGAAGGAAACCCTTTCTTCGATGAGGATAAAAATAAAGGTGATGCGAGACTCTTCTTTTTTAAACGATCGTCTTGGTTCTTTCATCAAGAAGGTCTCGCCAACCATCCATTAAAAAAAATGTGAATTTTCTATTGTATTGTGTTCGCAATGTAATGTGACGAAAATATATTACAAAAGAATCGAACACCTATTTCATTGGTTCTCGCACGATTTGTTTTTCTGAGATTATGATAATAGCGATAGCACATCTTTAGAGAATCATTACATGGTAAGTTGAGTAACTGATTGGAGGATGGGGTCATTTTATCGGGTATATCTACGTATCTATCTCTTACACAGCCATAACACTCTGATAAATTTATTACCTATGTTACACACAATGTAAACTCGCGCGTCTTTTATGACAAAAAAGCTTTTATTATACGTACGTACATGTATTATTCATATCTATTCACTATGCTAAAGCAAGCTCTAATTGAAGTACAGTACTTTGTAAATCTACTTTTGACTGTCCATTGATGCTATTACCAATAGAAGAATTTAGAGAAAAATCATTTATCGTTATATTAATGTCAAGGATAATATCTTTTTGATTTACTCTGCATAAACCAAAATAACTAAAAACAAAACAAAATAAAACAAAACAACATTCTTTTAACAATGCTAATAACAATGTGTCAAAAGTTAACGACCCTACGATATAGTGAATTCAAAACAGCCTATTATATATAAATCCTTTCGACATAGTGAATTTGTTATTATTAATAAACTCTCGATATAGTGAATTTTTCTAATAACACAGACACATGAGTCTTTTAAATTTGGGCAATAATCAACAAAGTGAAGATCAATATGCTTGTGAATTTCATGCAAAAATCTGAATTCACACAGTACGTAGGTCAAATTTTTTATCACTATGTGAATCTTGCGCACAGTGCACACACTCAAATTGTGTGATTTGTTTAAAACTGAGTGCACTAAGTTGAATATTTCATATATATATCGATATATATAATTTTTTTCTTATCAGTTAAATTACAAAGTTGAAGGAAGTCATGATTTATCGTTATGTACACATGTGCGCGCATGAAAATTTTTTGGTGCACTATGATCGCAAAAAAATTTGTGAATATAGTGCACATGCCCTAAAAATAGATGTATATACAAATTTCGTCCAAGAAACCAGATTTTGATAAACCAGATTTTACGTAATTGGTCGACCACTCCGGTTTATCAAGTTTTATCGTTATACACTACGTAATTGGAACTTAGAAAGGGTGACGACTACGTATAAGGGGGTAATTACATACGTAGTTATTCAAAAATTTAGCCAATGTAATAATATTCGAACAAAATTTTACGTATTTCGAGTTTCAGAAAAGTCAATAAATCCAATTTATTTTTTTTTGAAATTTATTTATAAAAAGGGTACCCAAGGTGTTGCTACTTAAAAGTCAATTTACCCTCTTCTTATATTCTTCAGAGTCTTATACAATTAAAAATAGCATTGATATTTTGTAGTCATTGAAAATTTGAACATATAAAAATGTAAAGTCTGCTTAACGAGGGTCCGGTTGACGAAAATGAAAATTTTCCAAGAACGTCCAGTTTAACAAAGTCATATATAACGTATAACGAAGTTGTTTTTTATGGACTTTACGTGTGGTTATGACAAAGATTTTTTTTGGATTATGCACTCACTTATGAATTGTTTTGGATAATAAATATATTTATATATATTTGGATAACGATACTAATAGATCAGACGTTAAATGAACCTTCTATTTAATTCCTCTGTGAATATTATACAAATCATCTACATAGTCAACATTAACCACATACTCGCTAAGAAAAAGTCCCATATCCCGTTGTTGACGATCCAAATGTTGCTGATAATCCAACAATTGTCCATGATATGCTACTAATTCTTCTTGGAAATCTTCCAATGCCGCAACTCGATTGTCTAAACTTGAATCTGAATGTATTGCTTGGAATTTTTTCGGTGAAGGGCATTGCGCGTTGTTTGTTTTAGCAAGTGGATGTTGTTCGTAGATTTTAGTTCTTTTTTGAAGCCTTGAATCTAATTTTGACCTTATAAATGGGAATCTATACGCTATTCCGAAGGGGGAGAGAAGATTTTCGCCTGTGATTGGAGATAATATTTCATCAAGCTATTTGTAATTTAAAAGAATGCTATCAATCAATTTATTAAAAGCGGATTTTCAAGTTACCAAAACAGAATGAAATTATTCCGAATGCAAGAGTAAAGGCACCACCCAAAGAGCCGAGGATCGATAACACCTGTTGTCAAAAAGAAAAGTTTATTATGATGAAACCTCGATAAGAGACACATAACGAGAAAAGTTAATTACCGTCATTGGCCTATTCGAATGAATTCACATTAGATAAATAAGAAGATAATCAATGAACTTATGGAAAAATATAATTCTTTGTTTACTCACTTATATTCGGTAATCGTGTCTTGCTCAGTTGATTGCAAAGTTATCGAGATCGATGCATATTGCTTTTGAACAGTATTTCCAATAATTGGGATCGATGCTAAAATAAGGAGAAAGACCATTTAAAATTACATACGTTTCTAGAGATACTATTCCTAAGAAATCATTACTTACAAAAACTTGAGGTCATGAAGTATTCTTGAGCTAAATCAGTTGGTGGGGCTCCAAATGTATTCCGCCAAGAATTAGTTAATGTCTGATTGAGAAATCGACGATAGTTGATAAAATTCGCTAAATTCACATTCACAGTGAAAAAATAAGAAAATAAGAATTTATATATATTCGAATCATAGAAAACCGATATGTATTTCTACCTTGTGCCGGTCCAATAACATAGTAATTCAAACTATCAAGTTCATTTAATGTTCCGGTCGTGTCTTTTGGCGTTATATTCTCAAACTCTGGATCTAATTTTTTAAATTTCTTCAGTTAACGTTTTTTTTAAAAATAAAAACCTGTTGAAAGATTGACCTGGATCGTAAAGTCTAAATCCGAATCCAAAATCCCGTGTCTCATTGTATGCAGCATCATTCAAAGTAACAGTGATTTGAATTTTAAGTATTCCTGATTTTAGGTATCCGGCAAAGGGAAGATTTCCGACTAGAAATCCATAATAAGTGGCATCGATTTTCTCTGGTTGAAGTAAATATTGAGTAGCACATGTGCCCGGATCTGTTGTAGCTAAAGAAAATAAAAATTAGCGTTTGAATTTCTAGTATTTGAATAAAGCTGATACTTACTAGCATTAAAATAGAATATTTGACAATCTAGTTTGTAATTGAAGTCGAATTCGAATCTGACGTCTATACGCAATTTGATAATTACAATTAAATATTCATTCAAGTAAAATTTTGGTTTGACAAAATATTCCAACATGTATACGTACTTGGACCAACAATAGTTGGCGGATAATCTCTTGATTCTTGAAGTCCGGAATGCTGGGTGGATATACGGTAAATTTGTTCTGCGAAATAAGCGAGTAGACACAAGTATATTATGAGTTTGAAGAGTATCCTGATAGAGTATAGTATGGTTGGATCTAATTTTCGGCCTTGTTTTTGTGAAAACATAATTAAATAGCGTTAGAAAAACTATTTTATTTAATCGAGTTTGAGGTTAATTTTATATCGATATTCGTTTTTTGGTTGTTACTCAAATTATCAGGTTTTTTTGTTCATTGGCTAATTTGGATTTAAGCGGTACGAGTGTATTGCGCACAATAACATTAAAGGAAAATGCGTCAGCCACACGTACGCGCATATGTTATACATGTACGTACTTCGCAATAGCGGGAACCGTCTTTTTGCTTGGCAAAGTTCAAAATTATAAATATTACATGTATATATTCTTGTGTCATCAATAATTTCAAGCTGGTAAAGACTCTTTGTACATAATGCATTAAGTATACAATGGGATTTTGTGTTTCGAAGTGTGAATCCCAATCCCAAATTGTCGTAAGTGTCAATAACGACACGTAACGATAACGATAAAGGTTTAGCGTTAAGGGGTTTGGGTAACATCTCTAGGTAACTGCACCTTGACTGGACATTATAAATTGTCTGATGCACAAATACACATGATTTATAATAAATTCCATACAGAGTTAATTTTCATCAAATGAATATTTATACTTCTTCAATCAACGAACGTTTACAAGAAATAACGATCGACTGCGAAAAACGACAACCAAATGGCTTAAGAAATGCAGTCGATGAATTATTGTCGATATTGAAGAATGGCCATGATCATTATATCAATGATCGAAAAATATTAGATCAAATACGACAATGGTTTGAAAAAAAATTCGACTTAAATCCGAGACACGTATTCGACCAACTTTGTTCAATGTACGAGGAAAATTATCTCAAATATTCTTTATTACTTGCATTTTTTTATTTCTGGGGAATTGGGATCGAAGAAAATTACAAACGATCATTTGAATTGAATAAAAAGGCAGCAGAAGAGGGTACCGATATAAGATCACTATACGAACTCGCCTGGTGTTACGATGAAGGTGCTGGTGTTGAGCAAGATTACGAGCTTGCATTTAATTGGTATGAGAAAGCGGCCGAAAATGGTCAGGCAATCGCGCAATGTAATCTTGCATATGCATATGAAAACGAACTCGGGACATCAGTTGATTTCGAAAAATGCCTTTATTGGTATCAGAAATCAGCGAACCTTGGCCTTTCAGGGGCATGCAATAGTCTCGCAAGATGCTACCAGGAGGGGCTTGGAACCAAACAAGATAACAATTTGGCTGAATATTGGTATTGTGAAGCCGCTGCTACGGGTGATACTGATTCTCAAGTTTCACTTGCAAGACGTTATTTTAATGGTGAAGGGGTTCCGATGAATATCACGAAAGGATTAGATTGGATAACAAAAGCAGCTGAAGGAGGAAGTGTTTCTGGGCAAATTCGATTGGCTAGGTGTTATCGAGACGCTATGGGGACGAATAAAGTGGATCACCAGAAGATGTTTTATTGGTTACAGAAAGCGGTCTTCTCACATTACAACACCATTCCTGAAGCTTCACACGCGCTTTCTGAATGTTATCAATATGTTGTTGGGACCAATAAAGATCTTCATAAATCGATAAGTCTTTATTGCATGTTTGCTCAAGAGGATACACTTTCTTACATGAATGTGCAATTTTTACTTGCTAACGATTCATTCTAAATACAATGTTTTGACTCTTTTCTCGCTTTTTGCATTTATTGCGAAGCAATTATTCTTAATTTGACTATAATAGTGCTTGTAATACTAACGCTAATGCATTTTTCTATTAATAAACATTCAATTATTTCGAAAGATGTACGGTCATCCTTCTACCACCTTCGCTACAATCACCAGTTCCAGCTATTATGAAGCATGGTGATAGAGTAATTAATTTTTGATTACCACCAAGGAGAAAGATTATTACATTTGTAAATTCAGAAAGCTCGATATTTCAGTTAATACCAACTGAAATATGACAAGCAGAGCAGACAATGGTTCCAATGTTTAATGGTTAATCGACAATGGTAATTTCCATTACCAAAATCGAAATTTATCAAGTAAAGTATAATAACAAAGAAATGTAAAGCATTGGCCAATTGTAGACTTCTTGAATTATAATCTTTCGAGTTTGGAACTCAATTCCCTGGGAACGTTCAACCCAATTGCTTTTAAATAATATAAAATAAACAATTTTCGAATCAACTTAAAATATGCCATTCATTCGACTCATATTACAATACGGCAATAACAGTTGAAAATGCGATTAAGGCACAATTTGTTCAATGCAAATATCAAACTTATCTGCAGTACTCTTTGTTCTGCATCAAAAACATTACGAGCAATCAGATTTGACAGAATAACTTGAGAACTTGTTAATCTTAAGATTTTAGGGATAGAGCACAAGCTTGGATTGAAACTGCGAATATCTAAAGAGGTTGGAATACTTAATAATCAGAGATTCACGATTATTACCACTTGAATTTGTAAAGCAAAGTAATGTGATAATCTCAGATGAAAGGTTTGTTTCATTTTGTAATCACTAATAATAATAATAATAATAATAATAATAAAAAAACTTCTTTTTGCATCTCTCCCCTGTCGATCTCTTGACCGGGCAGAGCCACATTTCTCTAAGGGCAAGAAATCTCCAAACTCAAAGTTCTAAAAAGAAGTTACACTCATTTTTTAATAGCAACAAATTCTTCGCATGCCAAGCTTTTATTTAAAACGTCAAAACACATACTTTTCCTTTCTTGTTATTCAATTTTCTTTACATACAACTATATAATAAAAATAATACAAAAAAGCACAAAAATAAAAAACAAAAAAAAATTTTTTTCTACTATTCCGTTCAAATTTTTTTATTCTTTCTTTCTCCTTCTCTTTTCTACTTATAACTAATCACCTTTAATAAAAATGTCAAAAACTAACAAAAAAAAATACTACTACTAACTCTCCCACATCCATCATCGAAAATTTAAAATACTAGCAGAATTGCGGTAAACTTCAAACCTGGCGACGAAAGGCAAAGAAAAAATATTCAGTTTAAAGAAATGCAAATATCTCCGCATGCAGTGGACCAAATTGAATGAATTTG